TATTAAAGGCTTTAAGCTGTTTGACCTGAATTCTCAAACTCTATTTGTTTCCAGAGATGTGATCTTTTATGAGTCCATCTTACCCTTCCATTCTCCTACTCATACAACTGAAACTCATTCACCTGACACTCACATACCAGATCCCATTTTCCCTCAATGTCCATCTATACCTCTTACTGATATATCTCATCATCAGCCTGCAAACTTTCCTTCTTCTACTCCCATCCCTGTCCCTTCCCTTCATATTCCCTCTTCTTCTTCTTATCCTACCCCACCAGCCAGTTCCTTAGACAGCAATGTCAATTTGCAATCTGAGGGGGAGGATATGGAGATTGAGGTCTTCCCTGATCTTAATGACACAGATGATGCTGAATTCTTAAGGAAATCCAAAAGACAGAACACCAAACCAGTCTGGCATAAAGACTATCATGTCAGTCTGGTACCTTCTAATTCTAAACACCATGTTACTCATCAGGTCACTTATGAGCATTTGACTGCTTCTTAGAAAGCATTTTCTCTCAATGTCTTATCTATTGGAGAACCTACTTCCTATGCTGAGGCATGTAAGGATCCTAGGTGGAACCAGGCCTGTAAGGAAGAGATTTTTGCTTTGTATGAAAACCAGACTTGGGAAGTTGTTAAACTACCAGCAGGGAAGAAACCTATAGGTGCTAAGTGGGTTTTCAAGGTGAAATATAGTTCTGATGGTGCTATTGAAAGGTTTAAAGCACGTTTAGTGGCAAAAGGATATACTCAGATCAATGGGATTGATTTCCTTGATACTTATTCACCAGTTGCAAAAATTAATTCAGTTAAGACATTGTTGGCAATGGCAGCTTCCAAAGATTGGCACATTCATCATATGGATGTGTCCAATGCTTTTCTCCATGGTGATTTGGATGAAGAAGTTTACCTTGAGATCCCTCCTGGGGTTGATGTTCCTAAGGATTCAAGACTGGTTTTTAAGCTCAAAAAGTCATTGTATGGGTTGAAGCAAGCAAGCAGACAGTGGTTTGCAAAACTTACTGCTGCTTTACTGAAGAATGGGTACTCACAAACAGCTTTAGACTATTCAATGTTTGTGAGGTGGATACAGGGAAGAGTAGTGGTTATTCTTGTGTATGTTGATGACATTTTAATTGCAGGAAGCTACCTTGGAGATATAGAGCAGTTGAAACCGTTCTTGAGTAAGGAGTTTAAGGTCAAGGACCTTGGACAAATGAACTATTTCTTGGGTCTGGAAGTGATCAGAGATCACAAGGGAATCTCAGTCAGTCAAAGGAAGTATTGTCTGGAGTTGCTTAATGACACATGCTTTGTAGAGGCTAAAGGGTGTTTATCACCAGTGGACTGCAATTCAAAATTCTCAGCAGAACAGGGTGAGCTCATGTCAGATCCTAGTGTCTACAGGAGGCTAATAGGTAAGTTACACTACCTTACAATCACAAGACCAGACATTACTTATGCTGTGCAACAACTAGCACAGTTTCAGACAGCACCTTGTGTTGAACATCTACAAGCAGCTCACAGGGTGATCAGGTACTTGAAACAAACCATTGGGCAAGGACTGATCTTTAGTGCAGATTCAAAGCTAGAACTATCTGGTTTTTGTGATGCTGATTGGGCAAGCTGCCCTGATTCCAGGAGGTCTCTTACTGGTTATTGTACTTTCCTGGGAACCTCTTTAATCACATGGAAAACAAAGAAACAAACTACTGTTTCTAGATCCTCTTCAGAAGCGGAATACAGAGCTTTAGCCAGTGGCGGAGGGAGGTGGAAGGGAGTGGGGTCTTCGGACCCCACTTGGATAAATTAAAATGGTTGAATGTATGTATGTACTTGTTTAATTTGAGTAGATTTAGAATTTAGGACCCCATTCATATGGAATTTAATTGTCCTAGTATTATGAAACACACAAAATAAATTACACTATATTGGTTATATATTATTGAAAATCCCCAAATTTATACTCCTTATTGTAAAAATTTCTAATTCTACTAAATAAGTGTACAAAAACCTCCAGCTATATCTAAAAAGCTCTTAGTTCAACAAATTTTTTCTATTAGTATACAATTTCTTTGTCATCAAATGTGTTTATAAAACGTTTGTGTGTATTAGGTTTTGCTTGGTGACTATTTATTTTAGCTAGTTATTGAAATATCACTTTTCAATTATGAGTTACACAAAATGTAAGTTACAAATCTTATAACTAATGATTTGATGAATGTCTACTTGACTGAATATTTTTAAGAGAATTTACTTAATAATTGAATATAATATTATAATTTTTTTTCCATAAATGGGACCCCACTAAACTTGAACGCTGGCTACGCCACTGGCTTTAGCACAGGTTGTCTGTGAAGTGCAGTGGTTGAGGAATTTGCTGTCTGAAATGGGAATTAAGGTACCATTGCCTATTCCACTCTACTGTGATAATAAGTCTGCCTTACATATCGCTGAAAACCCAGTTTTTCACGAAAGAACGAAACATATAGAGATCGATTGCCATGTCACAAGGGAGAGAATTAAATCTGGTTTGATCAAGCTATATCATGTAAGAACTGATGATCAGGTTGCAGACTTATTCACGAAAGGGATGACTCGATATAAACTGAAGTTTTTGCTGGACAAGCTGGGAGTAACAATGCATACTCATCAGCTTGTGGGGGAGTATCAACCGAGGAAGATGATGATCAGAACCAGCAGAAGTGAAATGCAGAAGTTTTTACATTTTCTGTTCTTCTGGTTTTGTAACGTGAATACACATTTCTGGTTTGATATAAAAAGATGAGCAGAGAGATCCCTTGCTCTCTTGCGCGTTCCCCACTTTTCGTGCCGCTTCTCTTCTTCTACACACCCTAGCTGTAGCTAGTTCTTAGAGGGAGAAGAAGCTCGAGGTCCAACTGTTCGAGTTGTATGGCCTCAAGGAGCATTAAACTGCTGTCACCGAGCTGCAGAACCGAGTCAAGATAAACAAAATGGAGACCGAGCTTCTCACCCTCAAGATGGAGTCCTTGCAAGCACAAAATCAGAAGCTTGTGGCTCAATCTTCAGAACAGACGAGAACTGCTTAGGAGCTCGATGCTGCGAGGGCCAAGATCAACTTGCTGAAGAAGAAGTTGAGGTCTGAAACTGAACAGAATAAGGAACAGATCTTGGCACTTAAGGAGAAGGTTTCCAAGCTGCAAGAACAAGAAATAGGTGCTACTTCGAGTGATTCAGAGCAGAGGGTGGAAGATTTGGAGGCACGGGCAGAAGAGTTGAGGAAGTCTAACATGAAATTGCTGCAAGAGAATTCGGATTTGGGTCATCGATTGGAAGCCACACAAGTGCATGCAAATTCTGTTCTTGAAGATCCAGAGGTATGCCATGTTTGTTTATTGTTTTACCTCGATCCCATTAGCATAACTCGTCGCTGGACTTTAGGGCCACTAACAAATTAGGTGAGTTAACTTTGATTTCTAACAATGTTGTCAAGGATATCTGGAAAATCGGGATAAATGTAGTGAAGGGACTTTGTCCTCATATTTCCAATTGACCCGAAACACTATAGTTAAAGCAGATCTTGTAGGCGATCACTTCTACTTTGCTATATAGTATTGGTGCTTTAATGTACAACTCAAAGTTGTACCATAACATTAAATGTATAAGTTTAGGTTGTACCATAAAGCAATTTGTACCATTATGTTATTGTACAACTTTACAACTTGAAGTTGTACCATCACATAAATGTACAAGTTCAAGTTGTACCATAAAAGAATTTGTACAAAAAGTATAGGTACAATCTAAAGTTGTACCATAACATAAATGTACAATTTTAAGTTATACCATCAAGGCAAAAACCTATAGCACCAATACTATATAGCATTGTAAAATTTCTCCTTGTAGGCCCTCCAATTAGCCATAGAGTAGGGAGGGATGAGAGGATAAGAGTTTCTCTTGGTAATGTGGGTTGGACTGGATCAAGTAACAGATTTAGTTTAGGAGTATGATTTAAAATGGACTGACTGGTAATGGTTGAGTCAGATGCCAATCTGGATAATCTAGACAAAATTTGACAGATGTTTCAACTTGTCAGTGATTCCAAAGCTGAGTGACCTTCCATCTTGCTGACCCTTTTTGCTTTGACTGCTGCTCTTTCTTTGTATGAAACTGGACCTCTTTTGTGTCTATAGATGGAGGAGCTGAGGAAATTGAGCAATCGGCTAAGCGAGGAGAACATTCTTCTGGCAAAAGAGGTGGAGAGGCTCAAAGCCGATCGCTGCTCAGATGTCGAAGAGCTTGTCTATCTCAGGTGGATCAATGCCTGCTTGAGATACGAGCTGCGAAATTTTCAGGCGCCTAATGGAAAAACAGCTGCAAGAGACCCGGGCAAATCACTGAGCCCCGAGTCCGAGGAGAAGGCCAAAAAGCTGATACTTCAGTATGCGGATGCTGAAGGAATGGGGGAGGAAGGAATGAGAACCATGGATTTCGAGACGGATCAATGGCTTTCCTCCCAAGCATCATACATCACAGAGTCCACAAACTTTGATGATACTCCCTCGGTATCAACAAAGGCCACCACTATGAACAACAATAGCCCTAGAAAGCTGAAGATCTTCAGGAAACTCAGGCGGTAAATACGTGGGAAAGATGCTCACAGCAAAGACGAGCACAGGACGGAAGATTCTGATTATCCTAGCAGTGTGTCAACTGGGACTGATGTAGGAAGTGACACACAGTCCAATAGAGGTCGGACACCATTGAGTTCATACCGGTTCTCTACTGATAGTCATAGAATGAGCATTCCGGGGTTGTATGATGCTAAGGAAATGGAGAGTTTTCGTGTAACGAGTGATCTGGGGTCCACCGATTTGCTCAGGAGGTTTTCATCAGGCCCAGAAACAGGTAGAGACTTTTTACCAGACCATGAAGACCTGGGGAAATCTGACTTGGTTAGGTTTGCTGGAGTATTCAAGGAGTCCAACGGCAATAATGTAACAGAGCTACATCATAGAAAAGGGAAAAGCAGTGTATTTTAGCTGAAAATCAATGTTTTCCCTCGATAAACACCTAAGGAATAACGTTTCCGATGTAAATATGCATACACATATATGCTGCTTGTTTGTAGTTGCGAAATGAAATTGGGGAAATAAAAAAGATGCCCACTTTACGACTGTCGAGTTTGTTTTCTCTGCTCAGTCCACTTCTTAAATTCCCATCAGGATTCAAGAGCATTACATATATACAGTTATACACTGGAACAAGGGTTATCTTGCAACCCACTTAACTCTATAACTAATCTTAATTTTGATCCTCGGCATCTAAATCAATCGGGCAAGTTCCATCATCTACATTAGCAAGAGGATTGTACAGATATGAACCAGGATCCATGCACCCTTCAACTAGATCAAGATTGCATCGATCACCCTGCATTTTCACAGCAAAATGGAACAGAATTAGCGGCTTAAGATAGGGTTTACAAGGAACGGGAAATGAATGCTTTACACTTACTCCTTCAATTGACAAGTTACCGATCATGGCGCATCTCGTGGCGACAACCTCAGTGTCTGGGAAGATTGCTCTGTCACATGCACCTTCTTGACTCAACTCTTGTTCCAGACCCTGTTGGGAAAAGGTTACAGGAAACAGTTAGTAAATTGCATACTTGGACGGCACAACGTGTAAAAGCTGGGGATTCTTCTTTGTCGTGGTTACCTCGTTGAAGAACTCAATCTGTTTGTTTCTCCACCCCTTTGGAACTTGGAATTGCAGTCTGTAAGGACCATCCCATTCTACTCCATTTGTGAATGAGAATATCAAGTTCACAGCTGCAATGAACATGGGAAGTGAGGCAGTGGAGATAGAATCACAAAAAAATCATAAGAGAACAAAGAATTTGATTAAAGTTAGACCAACCATGCTTAGGAATGCATATTTGGATGGAATACAATGGGGCATCAGCTTTTCCTCTAACTTTCTCAAGCATTGCCCTTGGCTCTCCACCACACATGATAGGTTGGTTAAATCCACCTGCAAAAAAGTTGCATTTCAGAAATCTTTCAACAAACTTCAACACATTAAGCATTCTAGTTTGTGCCAAACGAAGGAAGAAGAGACAATCACCATTGAAAGCAATCCCAAATTCTTCATTTGGAGTGAGTTTCTTAGCTGCTGGATTGTAGAAAAGTTTCAGCATCTCTCCCTGAAAGTGACAATATTCACAGCATTAGGATCAAAAGGAACATATGAACTGCTGGAAAAACTTGAATTATTGTTGACTTCCACACTCACGGAAGATGGAGGAAGGCCATTCATGGTTTTCCAAAAAACCGGTGCCCTTCCCATCTCAAACAATGCCCATGTAGGAAGTGCATATCTGAAAAAAACAAGGGATCAGAGAAGACATAAAACTTCCATGTAGTTTGGCTGCACATAAATGAAAACTTAGTGATTAAACCTCTAGCAATCACCATGAAAGTAAAAAAAAAAGAATGGTCCATACTCTTTAACTTCCTGATCCACTGGTGTGGCAATAGTTGTTGCTGATGCAGTCACTTTCCCTGAAGTTCTCAATGTTGTGCTCTTATTTGGTGAACTCCATGGTAATGAAGCACCCATGAAGCCATTGACTGCATGCATCACAACCATATAATTTATCCAGTCATGCTGAAAGCCTATGAATCAGATAAAAGATAAAAACTAATGGAAAAAACCAGTTAAGCAGTTGAAGAATCAGGAATAAGAAGCATCAATCTATCTAGAGCTAAAAAAGGAAAAGTTTTTGCACAACACCTTTCAATTTAGCACTAAGTAAGTAGTCTGAAAACAAACAGCTTTGCGGCGGAGAAGTACCTAGAGCGTTCATCTTTTTAACTGACGATATTTTTCAGGTGCTTACCTAGCGCGTTCGAGATGGGTGGATTAAGCTTCCTGGAGCTATAAGATTGAGGTGGAGATGTGACAATAGCGGCCATTCTTCCTGGAGTAGCCTTCACTCAGAAACTGGACCAAAAAGTGGAGTTGTTTGCTAGAGATTAATAGCTACAGGGTAAACTGCAGAAGAAGTATATAAAAGAGATTTCGTAGAGATGGACAAAAGGAACGGGAAGCAACCTCAATCACAAAAAAACTAACCAAATAAAATATCATTCTATTCTATTCATTTTAGCCGTATCCAGATCCAGTTGGGAACACAACAAACATACAACAAGGTCCAACCCGTTGCTTAGAAATATCTCTGGTGCCCTGTAAATATCTGCAAACCCCTCTTCGAAACAAATTTCTCATCATAACGTTTCAAAGTGGCAGCAAAATGGTGGGAGGAGAAGATAAACTAAACTGCTAGCTAGATCGCCAAGGAATCAAGACGATGAAATTTCGAGGGTCGAAAGATTACTTGTGATGGACCCCAAATTAAAAAATTTAATTTAACGAAGGTGTTCACAGGTAGTCCATAATCAGCAAACCTCACTTGATCACTGGGTCACCCTGGCCACCTGGAGTCACTCCAGCTACCCCGGGGTCAATTAACTCGGGTCACCTAGCCCCCCGGGATCAAATACCTTGGGTCATCTTGGGGTCACACCGGCTGATGCGACCCCACTCATCCTACATGACGTTACTCGAGCTCAAATTAGATTTCTACATGGATCATGGATTGGGAGAAGATTTAAGAGGTTCAAAAAGATTTTGAGAGCTTTAAAGGTGGAAGAAGGGCTCTACAAGCAAGACCTACGGGTTTGTTTATGTGAAATTGAATGCCAACATATATAGTTCTCGTGGTCCAAAAATGAAGGTCCGAGTACAGCGATACATGATCAAATGGGATCGTTCTTGATAGACATGGATTTGCATAAAGGAAAGCCCATCACATTGCTTCAATTCGTGGATCCAAATCATGAGAAGATGGGGTTGGAAGAAGGAGAAGAAGATTCAGCCCAAAATGAAGAAATTCCCCCATGGTGTGAACACAAGTTGTGAAAGGAATATCAAGTGTGAACAAAAGCCATGTGAAGGAGAATTTTAAGGCTAGAATTAAGAGTTGAAAAGGTCAAATTTGTTTCCTTTTCTTTGAAGGACTTTGTTTATCTGTTTGTTAAGGTTTTTGTTTTCCTTTTTCAAGTAGGATTTGGTTTTCCTTAGTTTTTTGTGTTTAGATTCGTGGGTCTATAAATAGGAGTCAAATCAATGTATTTTCCATTCAAGTTTTCAGCAATCAATTACAATTGAGTTTCTGTGAGTTCAATTGTGAACGTTTTTGCTTATCTCCTGTTTGAAGATTCGAGAGAATTGAGTGGTCTCTTATCAACTAGAGAACACGTCTAGTTCTGGCGAGCATCAACTATTGATAGGGCAAAAGCGTATAGCTTCAATTCCTATCTCGTAGTAAACCGGAAAGTCCGGGTATCGTCTCTCAGGAACTGGTACAACCTTAAGTTTTATCAATTTATGGAGCAAACTACAAGTGAAAATGGTTTGAGAGATAAACTAATTTCTAAAAGCAGAATTAAATAAACAAATTAAGTAATGAAAACTGTCGGGAGAAATTCAACGGAGAAAGCTCTGGGAGAAACACCGGGACTCACTACCTATCGTATCAAAATTAATTCACATATTCCAATAAGTTTAATCCATATCTGTACAACCAGGATATCTCTGTTATGCTAGCTATCCCTGTTGGGAATTACTACGTACTAAACAATTAAATCAAATTCTACTGTCGTAGCTCAATGAGTTAATTATTTAGCCTGGAGAACGATATTCCGATCAAGACAACATAGTGCCTTATTTAATCCATTGTCGCTTCGATAAGTTACTATGTCACATAAAATAGGTTTAGTTATTAGGGTTTCACTATCACTAATAACCTAATTAACTATGATTCATTGTATTGGTGGCCAGTCAACACAAAGCATTAAGCAATTTCATGCAATAAAGATTGGAAGAAGAGAAATATGAATCAATCCATCAATTCTAGAAATAGCTACATCCTATGGTGTTTCTCCCATAAATTGGGGTTTAGTTCATGACGAAAATATAACACACAATCATGTTCATAATCATCATGTCACAAATCGAAACAAAAGGAAAAGAATACTGAATTTGTCGAACGATCTGGCTCCAATTCCTTCTTGCTCCGATCGCTACTCTGCTGCTCCGCGCTCTAGCTCTGCTGCAATTCTGCTCGCGAGTCTGCCTCCGTGTGCACTGCTTGCTCTCTGTCCTCCGCTAACAAGCTGTTGATGCGCTAATTAATTCCGTCCCCCCTCCCAAAAGACTTCTCGTCCTTTTAATTCCACTACAGGCCAAAGAAGTTGGGCCACAAAAATGCTCCCTCCAAAATGCCCCCTGCAACGAGACAGAAGAGTTGGGCTTTCTAACTCCCTTCTCTTGTCCAAAATTAATTGCTTAATTGCCTCCAAGCAATTAATCCCTTTTCCGAGTCCCATGAAAGAAAGACAAAGAATTGGATCTTCGGATCCAAGTCCGGTCCAATTAATTTAATCCGCTCCACAGTTCTTCTTGTGCTTTCACAATTTCTATCTTTCCACATGAAATTTATCAACATTCTAATGCATGGTGGTAATGATCATATAACCATTCCGCAATTAGTTGACCTTAAAACAAGCATTATATGTCTCAAACATATCATGTAATAATCACATTAAGCATACAAAATCAATATGTTTTCGACAATTATCAACTATATCGGTTGTCCTTATCCACGAGTTCGAGATTGTTTGATTGGTTTCATATACAAATTGGCCCTTCTCACGGGTTCAGATCTGTTTGATCAATTTCCACGACTATCCTTTATTTTCGTGTTATTGAAGAAAGAAGAAAACCCTAAAAGAGTTCGATGTTGCGCTATTCTGATTTTTAGTCCAAGTTTGGGTGGATTCTCGAATTAGGATCATATCAAGCGGTATCAGAGCCTGGTTCAAACGCAGCGGAGAAGACAAAGATTCTTGGAGTTCTTGGTGGTTTGTGAAGCATTCTTGGTAGTTTTAAATGTCAAGAAAGCAAATCAGCAACGTTCTTGGGAGGGTTTCTTGTGCAGCAAGGAACGTATCTTGAAGACAAAGCATTCGTAGGGTTCTTCTTTAGTAAGAAACCATGGCGGATCAAGCACAAGAAGTGGCGACACAACTTCTGCAAATCGCCGCCCAAGTAGCAAAGGTACTTCAAGAAAAAAGCAGTGACTAAGACACAAATTGAGGCATTGCCAAGGCGTGATCAAGACCAACCTCAACCACGAGATCAAGGGCCACCGAAAGGCGAGTATGCAAACCCTAACCTTAGGGAGCAACGAGAAGAAAGGAGAGTTGTACGAGCCGTTCAACATCCGATGTATGAGCATGTTCGTCGACATAGGCCATTGGGATGGCATTGTGGTACAAGTAGAGACTTTCCCTTCTATGACAAAGAAGGCTATGAGGAGTTCGACAATGATGAGATTTCCTATCAAAGAGAGGAATATGATGATTTACGAGGTATTAAGGTGACCACTCCATCATTTAGAGAAATGATTAGCCCAAATGCTTACCTAGATTGGGAGCGCAAGATGGAGGTAATTTTTGATAGCCATCATTACTCAGAAAAGATGAAGGTAATTATGGCTTCTCTCAAATTTACGAATTATGCATTGGTTTGGTGGGATCAATTGTGCACTAAAAGGAGGAGAGATAAGCGTAGGCCTATTGAGACATGGGATGACATGAGGGGCTTCATGAGGAATCATTTTGTTCCTAGCTATTATCAAAGGTAGATCCACCAAACTCTCCAACTTCTTCAACAAGGTACCAGGAGTGTGGAGGATTATCACAAAGAGATGGAGTTGCTAATGATGAGAGCTGATGTTAATGAAGACGAGGAAGAAACTATAGATAGATTTCTCAACGGTCTTAATCGTGAAATAAGGCATGTGGTGGAGAGTCAACCTTTTATTGATTTGAATGAGTTGGTACAAATGGCAATCCAAGTGGAGAAGCAGCAAAAGAGAGGTTATACACGATGGATTGCTTCTTCCACCAATCCAAGTTTTTCAAATGTAGCAAAGGCTTCATATCCACTACATGAAGATCCCAAGCCCATCCTCAAATCACCTATATCTTCAAGGGTAACATGCATGACAAAACTCTATCTGATGTTTGTTCTAGTGATCTTATGTGCTACAAGTGTTAAGAAAAAGGTCACATGGTGAGTCAATATCCCATGAAAAGATGTATGGTGTCCTTGGAGAACGAAAACGTCCAGAATGTGCACAATGAACAAATTGACAATGAGAAGAAGCTTATTCAAAGGGAGCTAATGGAAGAGGAAAAGAGGATTAGGAAAGAGCAAGAGGCTGCCAGTGCAAGATCGGTTGATGTTGACAAAAGTGTTGCTTCTTTAAGCTCAATCCATGGTGAGAAAGTTGAGGTAGAAGCTGAACTCGAAGAAGAGAAAGATAAGATTCTAGGTGATGGACTTACTCTAGTCACTTGTGAAGAGTATGCACAAGTTTTGATTTCCTCTCAAGAAGAACCAGGACTTAAAATAGAAGATGAAGAGAAGGTGCTACCTATCACCAACATGATAATGAACTTTGATCATGATGAGATAAATTTAAAGGAGGGTCCAAAACAGTCACTTATTGAAGAAGATACAGATCATGTTGAGTTGACCATTGAAGATGGAATTCTACCAAAGGATGTCTATGACAATGAAGATATGGAGATGAAGGGAAATGTTCTACAAGTTCAAGACAAGTTTTTTCCCTATTGAAGTAGATTTTGATATTGGAGATGTCATTGAACATCACCAAAATTCGTCCATGGGCATCATCAACATTCCAAGTACATCACCAACATCATACTCTGCTAATGAACATGGTCAAAGCTCTACTCAATGCAAGCCAATTCAAATTGGAGATTATGGTGTGATTGTTCGGCATATGGAGTTCGTTATTGGAGATGAAGTGCCATACAAGGAGACTCATATTAGAGAGAGACGAAGACTCCAAGAGTTTGTGGATCAACTTAGCCTTCAAGGTGTATGGTCAAATGGGAAAACAACGAAGTCATGGGAGAGCATTTATATGTTGCGGCAAGATTTGAGGTCAAATCTTTTTCAAGACGGAGGGAATGATGCGCCCCTACTCACCCTGCATGACGTTACTCGAGCTCAAATTAGATTTCTACATGGAGCATGGGTCAAGAGAAGATTTAAGAGGTTCAAAGAGATCTTGGGAGCTTTAAAGGTGGAAGAAAAGGGCTCTCTACAAGCAAGACCTACGGGTTTGTTCATGTGAAATTGAATGCCAACATATATAGTTCTAGCGGTCCAAAAATGAAGGTCCAAGTACAGCGATACAAGGATCAAATGGGATCGTTCTTGATGTACAAGGATTTGCATAGAGGAAAGCCCATCACATTGTTTCAATTCATGGATCCAAATCATGAGAAGATGGAGAAGAAGATTCGACCCAGAATGAAGGAATTCCCCCATGGTGTGAACAGAAGGTGTGAAAGGAATATCAAGTGTGAACACAAGCCATGTGAGGGAGGATTTTAAGGCTAGAATTAAGGGCTGAAAAAGTCAAATTTGTTTCCTTTTCTATGTAGGACTTTGTTTATCTGTTTGTTAAGGTTTTTGTTTTCATTTTTCAAGTACGATTTGGTTTTCCTTAGTTGTTTTGTGTTTAGATTCGTGGGTCTATAAATAGGAGTTAAATCAATGTATATTTCATTCTAGTTTTCAACAATCAATTACAAGTGAGTTTGTGTGAGTTCAATTGTGAACGTTTTTGCTTAATCTCTCCTTTGAGGATTCATGAGAATTGAGTGGTCTCTTATCAACTAGAGAACACGTCTAGTTGTGCCGAGCATCGACTAGATTGGTTGGCCTTATCCATGAGTTCGAGATTGTTTGATTTGTTTCATATACCAATTGGCCCTTCTCACGGATTCGGATCTGTTTGATCGATTTCCGCGACTATCCTTTATTTTCATGTTATTGAAGAAAGAAGAAAACCTTAAATGAGTTCGACGTTGCACAATTCTGATTTTTGGTCCAAGTTTGGGTGGATTCTCGAATGAGGATCATATCACCGCCCACCCGGGGTCACTCCGACCATCCCGGGGACAAATACTTAGGTCACCTAGCCCACCCCGGGGTCACTCCGGCCACCCTGGGGTCAAATACCTTGGGTCACCTAGCCCACCCCGAGGTCACTCCGGTCACCCGGGGTCAAATACCTTGGGTCACCTTGGGGTCACTCCGGCTACCCGGAGTCAATCACCTTGCGTCACCTTGGGGTCACTCCGGCTACCCAGAGTCCATCACCCTGCGTCACCTTGGGGTCACTCCGGCCACCCCGGAGTCAATTACCTCGGGTCACCTACCCCACCCTGGGTCACTCCAGCCACCTGGTGTCAATTACCTCGGGTCACCTACCCCACCTCGTGTCACTCTAGCCACCTAGAGTCAATTACCTCGGGTCACCTCGGGTCACCCCGTGGTCAAATACCTTGGGTCACCTCGACTACCTTGGGCTCTCCGCCCACCCCAGGTCACCTCGACCTTTAGCCACGTACCCCCGCAACGTGTCCTCCCACCACACCACCAAGCTCCTGAAGGAGACACGTACTCCCTTCATGTTCGCCTAGGGGCCTCTATAAAAGGCCACTTCGTTTCCATATTGAAGCAAAAAAATCCCCATGCCTAGACTCGTGAACTCGCGCTATGATTAGCGTAGAAATTCATTTTCAACTCCATTCCCTCATCTTCCTTTTCGAGGTTATATTCCTCTCCACTCAACCCACTCACTAACTTGAGCGTCGGAGAGTGTCCCCGCCGAGATCGGCCGACAGACCTCTTTTGCAGGAGACGACCGGAGCTGATATCACAAGTGAAGTTTAAGGTGAAAGGTGGCCGTCGACCGACTTTGGTGCCCAAAATAAAAAAATTTGACGTCAGCTACAACCCCGGTATCAACAATTTGGCATTGAAATTGCTTATGGTAGAATTATAGAACATTAATTAATATATAAAATCCTTATGGTCCGCTCACTTTTCATGTCGTTTTTCATAATTGCTATAACAGAGCACAAATTAAAATGAAAACGAAGGTGTCGTTTCTTGAGAAACAAAACATGAAAAAAACTTGTTTAGTTGAGAATTTTGGTGAGTTTTGCAACTGAATTCTGAAAATGAAAACCTATTTAGTTGCTTGATTCATTATGTTTTCTCATACTTAATTAATTATCCCAATTTTTTCATTGACTATCATACAATTCTAGTCATGATTATAATTTTAATAAGAATCACGACTAGAACTCGAGTATGCTTATGAACCCTTCCGACCTGATAAATCAATGAGCACTTATTTTAATGCCCCCAAATCGCTTGTTACACATAATCCAAATCAAATCACCATTTTTATTATAGAAATTGGTATTGGTGGCCACAATTGTAAACCAATCACCCCTTTTGTTCTTGTTCTTGTTCTTCATAGGGAATTATCATGTCCAGCGCTCTCCTATAGCGTTGCGATCAAAACGTTTGCAATATCTTGCCATGGGAGAGCACCAGATAAGGTCGAAACTTGTCAAACGCATACACCATGGCCAGCAGCTCTTTCTTAATGGTGGTGTAATTCTCTTGTGCATCGTTCAAGGTCTTCCACGCGTAGTAGATGGGCTGGAAGTGATTCTCGTGTCTCTGGCCCAGAACAGCTCCGACTGCATAGTCACTCACATCGCACATCAGCTCAAAGGGGATAGACCAGTCAGGATTCACCATGATGGGTGCATGGGTAAGCTTCTCCTTCAATGTCTCGAATGCAGCTGTGCACTATGAAGTGAAGTGGAATGGTGCATCCTTTTCCAGAAGCTTGGTCAGAGGCAAGGAAATCTTCGAGAAGTCCTTGTTTAAGCACCGGTAGAAGCCTGCATGACCCAGAAAGTTGCGGATCCCCTTCACAGAAATGGGAGGAGGTAGCTTACTGATCGTTTCTATCTTCGCGCGATCCACCTCAATCCCCTGCTTGGAGATCTTGTGCCCAAGCACAATCCCCTCACAAACCATAAAATGACACTTCTCCATATGATTGCCAGATTAGTCTCCTCGCACCTCTTCAGAACGAGTTCCAGGTTATGGAGACAATGAGTGAAGGAGTCTCCATAAACCGAGAAGTCATCCACGAAGACTTCCATGATCTCTCCAACCAGTCGGTCGAAGATCACCAGCATACATCTCTAGAAGGTCGTCGATGCATTACATAGCCCGAATGGAATCCTCCGGTAAGCAAAAGTACTGAAGGGGCAAGTGAATGTGGTCTTCGCCTGATCCTCTGGCGTCATAGGAATCTGGAAATAACAAGACATACCATCCAGGAAGCAATAGAACTCATGTCCAGCCAAACTCTCCAGCATCTGATCAATGAAAGGTGGGGGAAAATGGTCCTTCCTGGTGGCGTCGTTCAGGCGCCGTTAATCGATGCAAACTCGCTAGCCAGTCACGGTCCTCATCGAGATCAACTCGTTCTTCTCATTCGGGACCACAGCCATCCCGCCTTTCTTCGGAACCACCTGAGTGGGACTGACCCACTTGCTATCAGATATAGCAAAGATGATTCCTGCATCCATCATGTCAGAACAGAAGCGTGCAATCGATAATCCAGATGTACACAAACGAACATGAATTTAACGTGGTTCAGTAACACAATGTGTGCTAGCTAATCCACGGTCAGGGGAGAACAAATTTCACTGATTTGAGGAGAGTACATGTTACAAACCAAATTTCGAGATGGACAAACCAAACAAACTAACCTGACTCACCTTACTACAAATTAGGGAGATGAAGAGTATTTATAGAACTCTTCTTCTAATCCCAAACAGAAAACCAAATACCTTTTCCCAAACATACAAGGAAAAAAAGGCCAAACCCAAACCCAAACAGAATAGGCCCAAAACACAAAACAAACCCAAATCAAATTCAAGTCATATCCTAACAATCTCGACCTTGACTTGAATTCTCTGTCAAATACCAGATGTACCAGACGCAACCAAAGTTGCCAGATGTACCCAGACACGATCCATATCGCCAAACTCAAACGCAATCAAGATTGCCTGACATATCCAAATGCGATTCATATTGCCAGACCCAAACGCGATGCAAATCGCCAAACTCAGATGCAATCAAAATTGTCAGACATACCAAACTCCTCCAAATCAGTTGTACTAGAATCTCCCCTGCCTCCAAATGCCCCTAAGGGTGATCAACAAATCAAAACATGCAGCAAGTCCAACCCATGTTATTTCCATCGATAACACCAACATCAGATTTACTTCCAACTCCAAACCTGCAGCTCCAAATCGACTTCTCAATCTTTAAATCTAGAACAAACATCCTTGAAGATTGAAAACTCTAACCACCACCAAAGAATAACAAACAGAATTTTTGCCAAATCACAAGCTATTATCGAACATAAATCCAATTGATTTTCCAACTCTCCGCGAAGAATGCCAAATCCCCAAAATTTCTTCTCAAGAAATAAAACCAAGTAATTCCGAGAAAAACCAAACAACGAAAATTCCAAACCAATGATCAGGTGAACTTCGACGTCCAATTCCAAATCAGCACCAAACAAATAACACGAGATTAGCTAAAACAATTGGCTCCAAGACTTGATTCCACTCCAAATTGCTAATGTGCACGATCCTAGAATTTGCTGACCAAGCACATTACAAATTAATAATTCCAAGCTGCGCCAAACTTCCAATTCCAATTACTCTCTCCATCAAATCGCCAAAATGAAATTGGCTTGTGATAATTATCACCAAAGACACAAATCCAACTTTCATCAACACCGCAACAATCCGAATTAGGACAAAAGACAAGAGTCTACTGTCCCTCTACGCAAACCAAATTGGAGGAAACAAACTAAAGGGCTTCTCCGCCAACCCAAATCGAAGAATACCTCCTGATACCACAGGACGTACGGCCGCAGTCACCACAATTCTTTGCTGATTGCCCAACGGACCGACCAGGCTCTGATACCACTTGTCAGAACAGAAGCGTGCAATCAATAATCCAGATGAACACAAACGAACACGAATTTAGCGTGGTTCACTAAAATAATGTGTGCTAGCTAATCCACGGTCAGGGGAGAACAAATTTCACTGATTTGAGGAGAGTACAGATGACAAATCAAATTTCGGAACGGACAAACCAAACAAACTAACCTGACTGACCTTACTACAAATTAGGGAGATGAAGAATATTTATAGAACTCTTCTTCTAATCCAAACAAAAAACCAAATACCTTTTCCCAAACATATAAGGAAAAAAGGTCAAACCCAAACCCAAACAGAATAGGCCCAAAACACAAAACAAACCAAAATCAAATTCAATTCATATCCCAACACATCAGCTTCACAATCTATGCCCGAACCACTGCCTCCAAGTTAGGAGTCAATCTCCGGTGTGGCTGCCTGGCTAGCTTAACCTCATCCTCCATCAGAATTCTGGGAGCAGAAGGATGGGCTAATGCCTCGGATGTATGTTATCTTCCACGTCATGGCCCGGGCATACTTCTGCTGCAGAGCCACCAGTCTGCTCTTATGCTCGGGTGTCAGATCCGAGCTAATAATGACCGGAAGCTTATTCCCCTCCCGGAGAAATGCATACTCCAGGCGAGAGGGGAGGGGCTTAAGCTCCAGCTCTGGTGGCTCCTCCAATGAGGTGGCGATCCGGGGCGAGATAGGGATCCGCTTGAATTGTTTCTCTCGCCCCTCGATCGCGGCTTTGTCTAGCTCCGCGAGCTGCTTCTCCAGCTGCAACTCCTGCGATGCCTGTTCCCGTAGCAAAAGACAACGCTCGAGGACATCGTCAGTACCCACACTCGTGATGGCGAGTGTGGTCTCAAAATCAGCAATACCATCACAGTAGTCTAGATCATCATGGAGCTTGGGGTGTTTCATATTATCAGAAACAGAGAAAGTGATTTGCTCACCCCCAGCCCTCAAAATCAACTTTCCATCATTCACATCAATAAGTGTCTTGGCGGTGGCGAGAAAAGGTCTACCCAGTATTAAAGGCACATCCACATCCTCATTTATATCAAGAATCACAAAATCAACAGGATATAAGAATGGCTCTACCGCGACTATCAAGTCCTCTGCAATGCCCCTAGGATGCACAATGAATCTATCAGCAAGTTGAATGCTCCTCCTAGTATTACTGGGTTCACCTAGGCCTAGCTTTTTAAGCAGTTTATATGGCATATTGTTTATGCTAGCGCCTAAATTCGCCAAGGACTTTCCTACATGCAAGCTACCAATCATGCAAGGGATAGTAAAACTCCTTGGCTCTTTGCACTTGTCTGGTAGCTTGCTCTGTAGGATGGCAGAACACTCCTCGTTGAGCATCACCGTCGACAGCTCCCCAAGATTCCTCTTGTTGGTGAGGAGATCCTTCATGAATTTAGCATACTTGGGCATCTTTGATAATGCCTCCACGAAAGGCATACTGATGTTTACCTGCTTCAGCATTTCCATGAATTTTGCAAACTCATTCTCCAGTCGGTCTTTGTGCAACCAAGTAGGAAAGGGGAGCTGAGGGACATACTCCTTCACCACTGGTGGCGGCTCAAGAGTAGGCACCTCAACCTCCTTCTCCATTTCTTCGTCGTTAGCTGGAAGTGCTGAAGTAGGGGTCTCTCTCTCCTGTCGTGCCCGGACAGGTCGATCAGTAGTCACTTTGCAACTCCTGATAGTAATGGCCTTGTAGTGCTCATTTGGGTCCTGCGGATGAGGAATGGTCTATTCGGGTAAAGTGCCCGGAGTCCGCTGTGATACAGCCTGTGCTACACTCCCAACCTGGGTCTGGATATCCCGCAATACAGCCTGCGTGTTTCTCTGGCCAACCTTAAGCTCCATGAACTTACCGGAGGCTTTCCCCATGAACTGATCGA